CAAGCTGCTGAGAGTTGTAGTCCTGTCAGTGTGGGATCCGCTCTGCAAGACAAGCTGCTGAGAGTTGTAGTCCTGTCAGTGTGAGATCCGCTCTGCAAGACAAGCTGCTGAGAGTTGTAGTCCTGTCAGTGTGAGATCCGCTCTGCAAGACAAGCTGCTGAGAGTTGTAGTCCTGTCAGTGTGGGATCCGCTCTGCAAGACAAGCTGCTGAGAGTTGTAGTCCTGTCCGTGGGAGGGGCGGCCCCCCGGTGATGGTGATTCGGTACAAAGCTTCTCCGGGACACATTCCCATCCCAAGGCCGAAGAGTTCAGTGTCCGGGCGCATGACATCCCAGCTCTCCACTTAGCTCCTCCCACACTCACATATATCCTCCCACACACATGTATCCTCCCATAGCTCCTCCCACACACATGTATCCTCCCACACACATGTATCCTCCCATAGCTCCTCCCACACACATGTATCCTCCCACACACATGTATCCTCCCATAGCTCCTCCCACACATGTATCCTCCCATAGCCCCTCCCACACATGTATCCTCCCATAGCCCCTCCCACACACATGCATCCTCCCATAGCCCCTCCCACACATGTATCCTCCCATAGCTCTCCACACACACATAGCTCCTCCCTCAGCTCTCTACACACACACATCCTCCAATAGCTCCTCCTCCTGCCCAAATATATCCTCCCATAGCTCTCCACACACACACACATAGCTCTCCACACACACACACATAGCTCCTCCCACAGCTCTCCACACACACACATAGCTCCTCCCACATATAATCCTCTGCTCTATATCTCCCGGTTCGGTGGTCTAGCATGATCCGGATCCGGGAGGAAGGACTCCATGACGTGGCAGATAAGGTTGGAGATGTCTTGGGGTAATATTTCCTATAGGAAGACTTCCTGCTACAGATTCCGAGAACGGTGCGACGAGTAAGATGTCCCATGTTCTGGTGATGGACACGGTGGGCCTAGTGAGGGGACCTTCTGGTGCCAGACACGGTGGGCCTAGGGAGGGGACCTTCTGGTGCCAGACACGGTGGGCCTAGGGAGGGGACCTTCTGGTGCCAGACACGGTGGGCCTAGGGAGGGGACCTTCTGGTGCCAGACACGGTGGGCCTAGGGAGGGGACCTTCTGGTGCCAGACACGGTGGGCCTAGGGAGGGGACCTTCTGGTGCCAGACACGGTGGGCCTAGGGAGGGGACCTTCTGGTGCCAGACACGGTGGGCCTAGGGAGGGGACCTTCTGGTGCCAGACACGGTGGGCCTAGGGAGGGGACCTTCTGGTGCCAGACACGGTGGGCCTAGGGAGGGGACCTTCTGGTGCCAGACACGGTGGGCCTAGGGAGGGGACCTTCTGGTGCCAGACACGGTGGGCCTAGGGAGGGGACCTTCTGGTGCCAGACACGGTGGGCCTAGGGAGGGGACCTTCTGGTGCCAGACACGGTGGGCCTAGGGAGGGGACCTTCTGGTGCCAGACACGGTGGGCCTAGGGAGGGGACCTTCTGGTGCCAGACACGGTGGGCCTAGGGAGGGGACCTTCTGGTGCCAGACACGGTGGGCCTAGGGAGGGGACCTTCTGGTGCCAGACACGGTGGGCCTAGGGAGGGGACCTTCTGGTGCCAGACACGGTGGGCCTAGGGAGGGGACCTTCTGGTGCCAGACACGGTGGGCCTAGGGAGGGGACCTTCTGGTGCCAGACACGGTGGGCCTAGGGAGGGGACCTTCTGGTGCCAGACACGGTGGGCCTAGGGAGGGGACCTTCTGGTGCCAGACACGGTGGGCCTAGGGAGGGGACCTTCTGGTGCCAGACACGGTGGGCCTAGGGAGGGGACCTTCTGGTGCCAGACACGGTGGGCCTAGGGAGGGGACCTTCTGGTGCCAGACACGGTGGGCCTAGGGAGGGGACCTTCTGGTGCCAGACACGGTGGGCCTAGGGAGGGGACCTTCTGGTGCCAGACACGGTGGGCCTAGGGAGGGGACCTTCTGGTGCCAGACACGGTGGGCCTAGGGAGGGGACCTTCTGGTGCCAGACACGGTGGGCCTAGGGAGGGGACCTTCTGGTGCCAGACACGGTGGGCCTAGGGAGGGGACCTTCTGGTGCCAGACACGGTGGGCCTAGGGAGGGGACCTTCTGGTGCCAGACACGGTGGGCCTAGGGAGGGGACCTTCTGGTGCCAGACACGGTGGGCCTAGGGAGGGGACCTTCTGGTGCCAGACACGGTGGGCCTAGGGAGGGGACCTTCTGGTGCCAGACACGGTGGGCCTAGGGAGGGGACCTTCTGGTGCCAGACACGGTGGGCCTAGGGAGGGGACCTTCTGGTGCCAGACACGGTGGGCCTAGGGAGGGGACCTTCTGGTGCCAGACACGGTGGGCCTAGGGAGGGGACCTTCTGGTGCCAGACACGGTGGGCCTAGGGAGGGGACCTTCTGGTGCCAGACACGGTGGGCCTAGGGAGGGGACCTTCTGGTGCCAGACACGGTGGGCCTAGGGAGGGGACCTTCTGGTGCCAGACACGGTGGGCCTAGGGAGGGGACCTTCTGGTGCCAGACACGGTGGGCCTAGGGAGGGGACCTTCTGGTGCCAGACACGGTGGGCCTAGGGAGGGGACCTTCTGGTGCCAGACACGGTGGGCCTAGGGAGGGGACCTTCTGGTGCCAGACACGGTGGGCCTAGGGAGGGGACCTTCTGGTGCCAGACACGGTGGGCCTAGGGAGGGGACCTTCTGGTGCCAGACACGGTGGGCCTAGGGAGGGGACCTTCTGGTGCCAGACACGGTGGGCCTAGGGAGGGGACCTTCTGGTGCCAGACACGGTGGGCCTAGGGAGGGGACCTTCTGGTGCCAGACACGGTGGGCCTAGGGAGGGGACCTTCTGGTGCCAGACACGGTGGGCCTAGGGAGGGGACCTTCTGGTGCCAGACACGGTGGGCCTAGGGAGGGGACCTTCTGGTGCCAGACACGGTGGGCCTAGGGAGGGGACCTTCTGGTGCCAGACACGGTGGGCCTAGGGAGGGGACCTTCTGGTGCCAGACACGGTGGGCCTAGGGAGGGGACCTTCTGGTGCCAGACACGGTGGGCCTAGGGAGGGGACCTTCTGGTGCCAGACACGGTGGGCCTAGGGAGGGGACCTTCTGGTGCCAGACACGGTGGGCCTAGGGAGGGGACCTTCTGGTGCCAGACACGGTGGGCCTAGGGAGGGGACCTTCTGGTGCCAGACACGGTGGGCCTAGGGAGGGGACCTTCTGGTGCCAGACACGGTGGGCCTAGGGAGGGGACCTTCTGGTGCCAGACACGGTGGGCCTAGGGAGGGGACCTTCTGGTGCCAGACACGGTGGGCCTAGGGAGGGGACCTTCTGGTGCCAGACACGGTGGGCCTAGGGAGGGGACCTTCTGGTGCCAGACACGGTGGGCCTAGGGAGGGGACCTTCTGGTGCCAGACACGGTGGGCCTAGGGAGGGGACCTTCTGGTGCCAGACACGGTGGGCCTAGGGAGGGGACCTTCTGGTGCCAGACACGGTGGGCCTAGGGAGGGGACCTTCTGGTGCCAGACACGGTGGGCCTAGGGAGGGGACCTTCTGGTGCCAGACACGGTGGGCCTAGGGAGGGGACCTTCTGGTGCCAGACACGGTGGGCCTAGGGAGGGGACCTTCTGGTGCCAGACACGGTGGGCCTAGGGAGGGGACCTTCTGGTGCCAGACACGGTGGGCCTAGGGAGGGGATCTTCTGGTGCTGGACACGGAGGGCCTAGTGAGGGGAGGTTCTGGTGCCGGACACGATGGGCCTAGTGAGGGGATCTTCTGGTGCCGGACACGGTTGGACTTGTGAGGGGACCTTCTGGTGCCGGACACGATGGGCCTAGTGAGGGGATCTTCTGGTGCTGGACACGGTGGGCCTAGTGAGGGGATCTTCTGGTGCCGGACACGGTGGGCCTAGTGAGGGGACCTTCTGGTGATGGACACGGTGGGCCTAGTGAGGGGACCTTCTGGTGATGGACACGGTGGGCCTAGTGAGGGGATCTTCTGGTGATGGACACGGTGGGCCTAGTGAGGGGATGTTCTGGTGCCGGACACGGTGGGCCTAGTGAGGGGATCTTCTGGTGCCGGACACGGTGGGCCTAGTGAGGGGACCTTCTGGTGATGGACATGGTGGGCCTAGTGAGGAGATCTTCTGGTGCCGGACACGGTTGGACTCGTGAGGGGACCTTCTGGTGCCGGACACGGTTGGACTCGTGAGGGGACCTTCTGGTGACGGACACGATGGGCCTAGTGAGGGGATCTTCTGGTGCCGGACACGGTGGGTCTAGTGAGGAGATCTTCTGGTGATGGACACGGTGGGTCTAGTGAGGGGATCTTCTGGTGCCGGACACGGTGGGCCTAGTGAGGGGACCTTCTGGTGCCGGACACGGTTGGACTCGTGAGGGAACCTTCTGGTGCCGGACACGGTTGGACTCGTGAGGGGACCTTCTGGTGCCGGACACGATGGGCCTAGTGAGGGGATCTTCTGGTGCCGGACACGGTTGGACTTGTGAGGGGACCTTCTGGTGCCGGACACGATGGGCCTAGTGAGGGGATCTTCTGGTGATGGACACGGTGGGTCTAGTGAGGGGATCTTCTGGTGCCGGACTCGGTGGGCCTAGTGAGGGGACCTTCTGGTGCCGGACACGGTGGGCCTAGTGAGGGGATCTTCTGGTGATGGACACGGTGGGTCTAGTGAGGGGATCTTCTGGTGCCGGACTCGGTGGGCCTAGTGAGGGGACCTTCTGGTGCTGGACACGGTGGGCCTAGTGAGGGGATCTTCTGGTGATGGACACGGTGGGCCTAGTGAGGGGATCTTCTGGTGTCGGACTCGGTGGGCCTTGTGAGGGAGGTGCTCTGTGTGTCCCTATGTTTTGGGGCAGTCTCATGTTGGGTTTGCAGCTGACATTTGGGGACCTCCATGGAGAAGACTCTCTTGGTTGGGACTCGGAAGCCTTTCCACCAATCCTCGGCCTATTCACATTCAGAGAGGGATTCCTCGGCGTGGATCCTCTGATGTCGGGTTAGGTGAGACCGATAGGTGAAATGTTTTCCACACTCAGAGCATAGGAAGGGTTTCTCTCCGGTGTGGATTCTCTTGTGGATCATTAGATAGGTGTGCCGGCTGAAGGATTTGCTGCACTCGGGACAGGTGAAGGGTTTCTCTCCGGTGTGAATGCGTTGGTGGCGGAGGAGATCAGACTTCTTGCTGAAACATTTGCCGCATTCCGAGCAGGCAAAGGGTCGGCCTCCGGTATGTGTCCTGCTATGTGCTGCCAGTGCCGTCCTCTGGCTGAAGCATTTGCCGCATTCCGAGCAGACGAAGGGCCGCTCTCCGGTATGAACGCGTTGGTGGATGCCGAGATAGGTGTACCTGCTAAAGCATTTCCCACACTCTGAGCAGGCAAAGGGCTTCTCTCCAGTATGAATGCGCTGGTGACGGACCAGGTCAGATTTGGTGATGAAGCATTTGCCGCATTCGGTGCAGACAAAGTGTTTCTCCTCGGTGTGGATACGAAGGTGTTTGCGCAGTTCATATTTCAGCACAAAGCTTTTCCCGCACTCTGAACACGGATACGGCTTCACGCCGGTGTGCTGGGTCATGTGCTTGTTGAGGTCTCTCTTCTGTGCAAAGCATTTCCCACACTCGCTGCAAGCAAATGGTTTTTCCCCGGTGTGAATGCGCCGGTGGGAGATGAGCGTGGAGTACTGTGTGAAATATTTGCCGCACTCCGAACATGAAAAGGTTTTCTCTCCAGTGTGGACGCGCCGATGGATGACCAGGTGCGAATGGCGGCTGAATCGTTTCCCGCACTCGGAACACACAAAGGGTTTCTCTCCAGTGTGAATCTTCTCGTGCCGCGACACGTCGGACTTCTTGCGGAAACATTTGCCGCATTCCGAGCAGGAGAAAGGTTTCTCCCCGGTGTGGACTCGCACGTGGCGCTGGAGCTGCATTTCCCGTGAAAAGACTTTTCCGCATTCGGAGCAGGTGAATGTCTTCTCTGCTGTGTGAGTCCTCTGATGGCGGCTGAGGTGCGAGTCGCGGCTGAAACATTTCCCACACTGCGGGCAGGAGAAGGGTTTCTCCCCGCTGTGGATCTTCTCATGGCGGAGGACATCAGATTTTTTGCTGAAGCATTTCCCGCACTCGAAGCACATGAAGGGTTTCTCCCCGGTGTGAATCCTCTGATGGCGGCTCAGGTCTGACTTGCTGCTGAAGTGTTTCCCGCACGCCGCACACACAAACTTCTTCCTGGGCAGGTGACTACGTTGGTGCCGCGCCAGTTCCAGCGGCATGGAAAAGCATTTGTCACACTCTGGGCAGGGGTAATCTTTCATCAACATGGAGTTTGTCTGGGAGGGCGGTGGGTAGTAGTCCGTGTCCGTGAGATTCTCTTCATCCTCGGAGACGGATTCCTCTTTAATGATGACGGGAATGTAATCCGCCGGCACGTCACCGTCCTTGCTGCACACATGTGACTCCGCCTTGATGTCAGAAGACGGAGGTGGTGTGCGTCCATCGTTGCGGCGCTTCGAGGGGTAGTCCAGGTCACGGAGGCCGTCCTCCCTGCCGGAGGCCGATTCCTCTTTTATAAGTGGCGGCTCATTGTCAGTGGGGGAGGGGTAATCATTGGTGTCCCTTGTACTCCCATCTACATCAATGAAAGTCATTGCCGGTTGTTTCCTATCGTTGGGGGAGGAGCCATCGGCCGGCACGCCCTCTTCTGGTGATGACCACTCCTCTTTAATATCTCGATCATCGCTTGTCTCCTCCTTCATGCAGCTCCCGCCAGCACTTGTTCCCTCGGGTTTAGAGTCCATCATGGGAAGTCGGGCATGGCCCCGCCCAGCCGCATTTCTTCTTCTGGCCCGAGGCCGATCTGTTCAGGAAACATGAGGGACACGAGGTGAGCTCCAACCATAGAGAGGAGGAGGGGCATATAACAATTCCAGGGCCCATCATCAGGGTCAGAACTTTGGGAGGACTTTACAATCTGTGTAGCCAAACGTCAGACCTCCAGCTGCAACAACTAATCGGCTAAGGCCATTATAATCGATGACTCAAAAAGTTGTCAACGTTTCCAATCATCGATTAATCGGCTTTCAATTAGTTGGCCCTGTTCACGGCTCCACACGCGCCGCACCTCCTCCACGCCTCACACTCGGCACCACCAGACCC